TAGATTAGGATAATAATGTACAAAAGTAACGTACAAAATTTACTTGGTGCTACTTTGTGATATCACTTTTTTTGTAAAACGGGTTTTTAGAGATACATATAGACGACGAATGTGAGCGACGACTTCTTGAATTGATGTTTGCGGCGTCGTCCGTCAGTCGCGTGTGTCACGTATCGCATACGAATGACACCGCCGAATTGTAAACGAGATAAAATGATCTTACGCGAAAACAACATGACGTCAGCAATATAATAACAAAATATATCTATTAACATATAGAGAGAGAAAGATTTATAAACAGCTTCAATAAACTGAAAAACCTTCTATATGTTTAATTCATTTTTATATTACAATATTTTTTATATTGTATGAGCGTATAAAACATACGTGCAATAAAACGATAACTATAATTTTCTGATAAAATAATTAAATAGAATATGTTTATCAACCCATATAACAATAATAAAACTTCAATATCATATAAAATTGTAGATATTTTGAAATTACATAGAAAACAATAAATCAGAAGACTCGATCGGAGCTATGTGTGTGACACGCTAGACGAGATGCAAATAAACAGTCGAACAATGACAGGTTCCGAGCAAATGAATCATCTGATGGACTCACCCGCATCGCTCTATCCGCAGATTGCCAATAGTCTCAGATCGTATCCGTGTACTAACCTGAATTTCAGCCCTACCTGCGATTTATATATTCCTGTCTGAAGAGCGAAGTCCCCACCTCTCGTCGAATATCATCCGCGACTTTTTTTGCTCCTCCGAACGTTTGCTCATTGCGTCGTCTTCGCGAGCAAGACTCTGCGAGTAAAATACGACGCACTTCTATTCTTTTTCAACGCGAAACTCGCGGAGAGCGAGATTCGCGTACACGTGTGATGCCAGCGAGAGACGGTTGAGTGCTTTCAGTACCGGCTTCAGGGGTGAACGAAACCGAAACACTTCTTCAATAAAATTCCACAGTGCTGAATAATCTTCTGATACTCAGCTTGCTGTCTTCACTCGCGCGCAAAAAATGTCGCAGAAATATGAGGAGACTATGTGAGGTAATAAATCAAATTTGCTTCTCACGTGTTTTGTTCAGAAAAATATGTAAAAACTTTTTTTTAAAAACACATAAACTTTTTATCTTCTTTTTATAGCCGTAGTATAAATAATACGGAGTTTAAAGAAGAGAGATTTAACTGTTTTTTACACGAAAAATAGTAAATTTTCGTCTGCGATCTCTCTCGCTCCATTAAACATGCAACTTACTTGGAAAGGGCAATGGAAAAGTTCCGATATATTTAAATCCGGAGAGATAAAGGAAGCATTTCGACTTCTTCGGACATGAAATCCCGCGAGAATAGTTTTGCAAGAGATTGCAGCGATCGATAAGACACAGGTGTGTGTGTGTATGTGTGCGTGCATCGATCGCTCTGTAATTCTAAACGGAGCGTAAGAAAAGTCGGCGCGGAGTATATACACGTTTTACTCTATAGAGCTAGCGTGAGTGTATTCCGGGTTTAGCGATCGCGTGAACCGGTCGTTGAGATCGTTGAGATTTTGCGCTTAGAATAGAAGGGCGTGACCGATGAGTCTGATGACTTGTCTCGCGACGAAATCGGATTTAAATTTCTAATATTCCCTCCGCAACCCCTTCCATTGGCCTCGCGCCACGATTTTGGTGTCTCGACGATTATTAACGCCGCAGAAACACGAGAGTCACGTGGGTGTACGTCAAACAGCATCTTTCAACCTTGATGAAGAGTGGCGGTCAAAATTTAGTAGTGATGCCATAATCTGACGTTTATGCCAAGTCCCATGATCAGATAAATAAATATAATGATCGCGAAATATGACGTTAAGACGCGACTATGTTGAATACTCGGCTCGCTTAATGGGGACCTCTGATAAACCGGAGTTCGTGCAAAATCCGAAGCACGTGACAAGCTAGTGACAAATCCTCGTGCGCACGTCAACAAGACAGATAGCGACTTGTTAAAAGAAGGATGCAATCATGGATGCAATATCGCATCGATCTCGTCCGGAGTTATTCTTTTTTTGATACTTCGGTATGGGATGAATTTGTTACTTAAACGTCAACGAAGATAAGGTTAACGATATCACGAACGTAGACATTATTTTTTGGAATCCTAATTTATGTGGTAATTCAACACTTATTAATAATATGTTTTTGTTTACATAAAAAATAATAATTGCGTAATATATACTATATTTTATATTAAGTTATTTTATACTAAATTGTTTATGAACACTAGATTATCGATAATTAACCAATATGTCGGTGAAAATTTATCGCATGATTGAAAGGAATAATGAAAGTTGTCGCACAAATTCGGGAAAAAAATCGGACATTTGTTCGCTTCCAATATTAAACATTTTTAAATCGAAAGCTCGCGTTTCCGCATGATGAGGTAACCTCGTTGTCGCGCGAGAGAAGAGGGTGGACCAGTTTTCGAACAACAGCAGAGCACCGCAATCGATAGAGAAGTCTCGTGAGAGAGTCTGCGACTGCGCTCGCGAAACTTCGCACATCCTCTAATCAATCCGCTTTCGCGTTTTATCAACAAGTGCCGCATGCACCTGAGACTGGCGCCGACGTGCCTGATGCCGACGTTCGGCTGGTGTTAGTCGTCGAAAGGTTGCCGGAGGTCGTGCAGCGTCGTCAGTCAGTCGTGAAGCAGAATCGTCGATCACAACGGCGCGGAATGGAATCCTAACGAGAAAAAAACGAGAATCCGGGGTTTCTCTCTCTCGTCGCGAATGATCGAACGGTTCTTATATCATCTTTGTCATATCCGTCTGTCGCGTCGCTTATTTAATAATGCGCGGTGTTGTTTCGTGACAAATGTCTTCATATCGTCGAACGTGCCGCACGTGAATGAGCACGCGCCAGTGTGACAACTGCACGCGATTTCCTTATCCAGCGGACTGTCATTTCACGAGAAAGTCGTTGATTTAACTCGATAATTAATTGAATAATCTGCTTTTCTTCTGTTTTGTGAAAACTCATTAAATCGAGAATGGTTATGAACGTTTCAGAAGACGTTTCTTTTTCCTCTTTCCCGAGAGAGTTGTGTGTCGTCAAACTCGACATCTTCGAGAAATTAAAAATCCGAATAAAGTGCGGCATATTTTTCGAGTTGCTTAAATCTCATTTGTTTTCGACAATGAAAGTCAAGTGAACCGAAATGCACACCGGCTTGTGTTTTCTACGCTATTTCGGTTCCCGAAACGAGCCGGCAGTTCCGCTGATTTTCGTTCAGAGTTTCAAGGAGTGTCGCGCTCGCGCGAATAGAAAAAGTTCTCATCGAGCAGATTTGTCTCACGCTTGCAGCTCGCACATTTGTGATTTGGCTCTCCATTTCCATATAATTTTCTCTGCCAAACGAAATTTTGCAACGTGTTTACTTATACGTCATTTATCCCAACGTTCTTTTGCATTCTCGCGGAACCGATGACATTTCGGATAGAAAGACCGATGGATAGCGCGCGTCGCGAAATGATTTACTTTTCGAATTTTGGCAAACGCGATTCCGCAATCTCTCTTTCTTTTAGCGACGGCGCTTGCTAAATAAACAGCAATATTTTTCCGAGCTTTCGCGAGAAATTTCAAAAGCTTGGACAGGTGCTTCGTTCTGTCAGATAGAGGCTCTATTTCGAAAACTCTATCGAGTTCTAGAGTCACTTATTTTCCTGATGATATATATTTTTTAACATATAATATTATACAATAATAGACGTTCCAAGAATCGGATTGAAAAAAGAGAAATAAATTTATTTTCGATGATGAGATGATGCTGGAAAACGCAAGGGGGTGCAAGATGAAAGAAGAAAGGGAGCGCGATTATCTCATCGGAAAGCGCGTCCGTCGCTAAAAATAAACGCGCCTCGTGCTTTAAACATAGTTTTGGCATGCAGAAACGTCAAACCGCCTCGGAGTGGCAAAGCGCATGGGTCGTTTCGCGAGTTTCGCAAAGAGCGTGTCAGTCGAAAGAGAGAGAATCTCGTCTCTCTTTTCCGTGAGATTAGCTTCTCTATGCAATATTTAATTGACCGATTTGTTATTCCGGAAGAAGGAGCCGTGTGCAAATCAAAAACAGTTACACAATATTGAAAATTTATTTTCGCAGAGAAGTGAATAAATGTGGAAGACATGAAAGGCGCACCGGAGAACCGCGATAAAGAGAATCAACGACCGATGGCGGCGGCGCGACCAGTCGACGAAGACACAGCTGACGTTCAGCAGGAAGAGTAAAAAGCTTATAAAAGAGACAGAATAGTGTGTGTATGTGTGCATGTGCGTGCTCGCCATTTCTATCGCATTCCCGGTCGACGATCAGTTCGCACTCGCCGATATATACATGCGGCACTACTTCATTGAAAACACTTATCTCGATTGCTCCGTCTTTCCTGACAATTGCTAAATTTATGGTGCACGGTTATCGAGAGCGATACGCGGTTTCATACCTTGACATCAACTGTATTATATGTATATACATAAATATCAAAAAAGAAAGAAAGAACATTCGCAAACCGCATTTGACGTGATGAACATAAGCTACGCTTATATTGTCAAGTAATTACATATACAGCATCTGATATTACACATTATGTTAGTTTAAGAACGCCTCGAGCGACTTGAGAGAATTTCGTGCAAATCGGCAATAAATCGAGATGAAAGATAATAATCTGGTTCCCCGCACGTATATATTCGTATGTGTGCGCGCTGTATTTATCTCATTCATTCTTTGTGTGTTTTTTTTTTTTTTTTTTTGACGAAGCTGCACTCTCGCGGCCTCCGATGTACCGCCGATTACAAATTTGTTGTGTACACGCTTGGCGAAGCATTTATGCTCCAATTAAGTCCTATGTGGAATTGCTGGATGCGAATACCAAGCGTTCTCATTAATTGTTGCTCGCACACTGATATAGCAACATCTGTAGGTCGGCCGAGAACACGTCATTATTAAAAGGAGCCCGAGGGGAGCTGGAATGTTATATCGTACAATTACTTGTCTTAACGAGCTAGAGCTAGAGCGAAAGAAATTTCATAATTGTTACTTGCGTTCTCAACGGACTTTGCGTTCGATCACCGCAGCTTTTTCTCGTTAGCACACAACGACGCAACACGCTTAATGCAATAATAACTCACTCGCATCGCTTTAATTCTTTAAGGATGTACACATGTAATCAAATCGCACACGTTGTATCTTTAGATCGCGAGGAAATATATCTCAGAACATCTTTATGTATTTTTTGAGACTTAATCAATAAATCTTTTTTTTAATAAACATCGATTTTTGTTCTTATTTTTTGTATTTGTCTGATTTGAAAAATCGAAGTACCTCTATAAGCCAAGTATTCCGCATGCCTTCCGCTTTAGCTTTCTAGTGCTTTGCAAGTACACATTTCGCGCGCATATAGTTATCATAGATATCATAGATAGGATATTTTACAATGTAAAAATTACTCGTAATAAGAAATTTAAATAAGTCAATAAGAAAGCCGTGCAGCACAAAATATTGTTGCTGTAATATTGCAGTTGTATTAGTTCGCAAGATTGGATTATTGTATGAAATATTCTTGAAAAATTATATACCACAATATTTCTACAATATTTCTACAAAATTCATAAATACCAATGTTGCAACAGTCTTGCAATGTTTTAGCAATAATTTGATTAGTGTTGTACGAAAAGAATTTTTGATTACATTTCATTTTTTTTACACAATTTCACTTTTCACAATTAAATCTCAAGGTCGATGTCTCTCTTTTAACTATCAGTAGATTTTTAAACTAATTTTTAGCACCTGCGTTGCTGATAATTTTTATTGAAATAAATCATTCTCACTTAAGCACTAATAACAGCGTTTGGCTCATATTGGTCCAATCTTCTCGCTCACTTAGTACGATTTTAATTTTTTATTATATATATAATATATACATTTTTTTAAAAGTGATGTAGTTGCTGCTCTTGTTTGTCAACACAATTTTAATCTCTTCGGTACGATTGTCGCCGCCGAATGCATATTTAACGGTAGTCCGTCGACTTTAGTCTTGTTTTGTTTATGTTCATTTGTTTGGTCGTTCTGAGCATTTCATTGTAGATTGACATTACAGATAATCTGTTAACTCCCGTGCAATACTCAGTTCAAGTAACTGTACAGTTGGACACACACGTGTCGTATTACATAGTATTGTTGCACTACGTGGCGGACGAGCGTTGTACCAGAGAGGTTAAGCAGCCAAGTTCAATAATTAGCGTATTTACAATATAGCTGGGTAATACGCAGTGACACTCTTAATAACACCCAATAATGAGATCCTCCAAAGTTTCTTCCTCGGTTATTTTAGAGCGTCTCATTTTACCCAGTCGGTCGCGTTAATTAACCTTGGCTCCGGATGCGTGTCGGTTTTCCAATAGTGATTTTTAATTCCCGCGTCATTGACTAACTGCGACCAGCTGATTGCAAATCGTAAGCCGATTTCCGACAGCGCTGGTCGAAAGCCAATGAAGATTTTTCGATACCACAAAGAGTTCTCTCGTCGCGTCGCTAACAATCGCGAAACGATTATCACTGTCTCGTGTTATGAAAATTATATTTCGCATCTGGAGACTCGCGAGATTGTTTTTTTTTTTTTTTTTTTTACGACTGAGTGCATATCAATAAAAAACACGAGAGAAATTCAATTTTTACAAATGTGCACATACGTGAGAAAATAAATAATCATTAATCATCTTTTTCAGGTACATTGTATGACAGAGTGAAACATTAGCTCTCAGCCTCTAATTCTGTCATTTATCATCGTAGACAGAAATCCATTGTACGCTTTTGTGCGCATAAATATACATACATACATCAGAAATCGATGGCTTTCTGTCACGTTCTGCCGCGATCAATTTTCAGCTGGAGCTGATCTTGTTGGAGAAGTAAATTGAGATTTATATCGTTGTTTTGCGGTGCGGTTTAGTGTGATGTCAGCCGGTGGTAATAAAAGCGCGGACGAGGCTGTGAGCGATGCTTTGTTGGAGAAGCTCCGAAACCACGCGGCGAAACCGCAGGAAACCGGCGACGCGCTCAGGACGACGGTAGCCAAAATTCACGCGCGTATCACGTCGTCAGGTACGTGTTTTCTTTCAGCACGAATTCTCGTCTACAATAAAGCGTGCGAGCGAATCGCGGCAATAATAAAGTTCTAAAGAACGAATCAACGGAGATTGCGAACACACTTTATAGGGAGAAATTCGTGCCGGTATATTATTACTATCGACGGACACGAAAATCGCGGAACTGAACTTGCACAATTTATCATTCTCGTGTGATTTGCTTCGCAATGAATCGCGAACAAAAGTTATTCACCGACCACTTCATTACGTTTTTATTATGCCGCTCGTATAATACTTAAGCACGAAAAGTACACCTGAAAGTTATTATTAAAAAAACTCAAGTCTTTTTGTAAAAAAAAAAACAACAAATTGACTATTTTACTTTCTGTGTGTATACTTTAATTGCCGTGATATTGGTATAATTTTGCGTCTTGTGTATGTATGTTTATTATTGTTGATCCGCCGATCTCTATCACGTACTTTCAAGCAACTGGCGAACAGGTGTGCGAACAGCGATCGGCCGCTCTTGCCGTCCGTTATTTTAGAACAGAGAGAAGAACCGCCTCTGTTACCCAGATTACGTAATGACTTTCGGCAACACTGACGACAGATCTGTTGGCCATCGTCCAGAGAACTGTGATTCCGCACGATACGCGAGTTGAATCGTGCCGCGCGTGTTGAATGTGTGCCAATATTGATAAGGACTACAGACCCGATCCTCTTGGCTTGGTGTTTCCACAAATCACAGAACTTACCGCGGTTTCAATTTCGGCATATTTCGTTACATATTCATGATCGCGACTAATAACGGTCCGCAGCGTTTTGCAACACACACACACACACAGTTGGATGTTGCCTAAATACTTGCTTTCACGTCATCGCAGTTTATAGCCGTGACGTCAGACGCCAAAATGTTCGCAAATTCTTAAATATTAATTTATATTAAATTAATTTATATTTTAAAAATATTAATTTATATTAATGTAAAAAAATACTTATATTAAATATTAATTCATATTAATTCGCAAGTATTTTTAATAGTAATTTATATTAAAAGAAATTTATTAAACACATTTTGATTTACGTTGTATGAATTATGTTATACACATTGAAATTAACGATGACATTTGCAGCCATAAAATGTACCACCTCGCTTGACATGTCGTAACATGTATTTTTCTAATCGTGACATTGGTTCCAATTGGCGTCGCGCCAAGTGCAAGAACATCCAATGATATTCTTAATTTCTTGAAACAACGTATTGTTGTACGTGTTACAAAGTTGATCTGACATTGGCAAGACAAAGAGTATTCGCACTGAATAAATCGCGATCTAAGCGATTTACGCGCACAATAATAAACATAAACAACATAAAGCATCTCGTAAGCGCGCGACAGGAAGGCGCTTACGAAAGATGCGTTTTATCGATCTATATGTTTTTTTTTTTTTTCAGATCGACGGACACGCGAGCGCACGTTGGAAAAACTCTGGCGCACGAATGCCGGTGAATCGTTCATTATCTTATTGGAGGTGAATAATTTTTAATTAAAGTTATCCCTTCTTTCTTTTTGACGAGTTTTTTTCGTCTTCGTTACGTGTCTTTCGTTTTAATCGTTGAATTAGTACCGCTGATGAGCGCGTGTTGATCGCGTGTTAATAGCTGCCGATTGTACGTGTGAAAGAGATATTTAGAGCTCGTCGCACTATCAACGCAGCGTGGAGCCAATTTCGAGTTTGAATAACGGCAGTAATTAGCATTATCTGCGAAATAGCGCGACGATGTCACGCGACACATATCGCTTTTGTCTACACACGTCGAGAAAGCAGTGAAGCGTGTAAAGTTTGGATATTCGCCTGTTCTAATTCCCGAGAGTGTCAGAGCAGATCGGAATAATTGCTCGCGTGCCGTTCACGTGCTTCTGTAATTTCTTTCTTTTCATTATCGTATAGCGAGAGGAAGTTTCCGTGTTTCTCTGTATCGCAAGAAAATATACAAATCGATATCGTCGTTTCTTTATTTATTTTTTTTTTCAGAACTGCAAGGACAACGTCGCCAATTACACCATCGTTGGTATACTGCGCGAATTCATCTCGCCCCGACTGACCAAAGACAAGTCCAAGGAGAAGGGAAGCAAGAACAAAAGTAACACAAGTAATAGCAGCATTTTTATTTTTTTATTTAATTTAAGACAAACACATTTATTTTTATAACATGTTACATCCAATGTTTCTTACGCGATGTTCAGTAATGTTGAAAGAAGTAACACAGTTTTTTTTTTTTAATAGGAACCAGCAGCCGAATGGCGGTCATTCACCTCATCAACTTAGGCGTCACGCAAGCCCTAGTTAAACTTTTAATAAACCTCCAACATACATCAGACACTATCGTGAGCGAGATGCTCACTCAAGACGTCCTTTGGCTCTTGGGACAGGTGATCTTTCAGCTTTATTAAATTGCTTCAATTTTATTCGTTGTTGCAAAATAAAAATATTAACAACAGAATGTGAGCGTGTATATATATATATATTTTTTTTTTTAATTCAAAGAAAAAAATCGCGCTATTATTTTGCGATTCTCTTTAGGTGGCTCAGAGGGACCAGAAGTTTGTGTCAAAGATAAAATTGCTCAATTCCATAAAAGTGTTTCATACGCTGTTGAAAGAGCATCTCAACAACAGCAAGACTTTATTGGCGCTGTTGCTGATTATCAAGACTCTTTCTAAAAACTGTAAGACGCTATATTTCTTTTCTCTGTACGCGTGTGAAGAACAGATGTGCGAGTTGTTGTCTTTTTTTTTTCTCAGCTTATTCCGTGCAAGTGCTGGTAAGGGATGGCATCTCTGGCACTTTGGAAAAAACGTTCGTCAGTGTCGGTTACACGCCGCACTTGAAACTGAAAACGTTAATGGACTGCTTCAAACATTTAACAAGCAACAGTACGTGTGTTTTATTTTTGTCCACCGATCGTACATTAATTGTGCAAGATTATTTTTTCACATCAATTGTTCATTTCCGGTATTTTTCTTTTTTTTTTTTTTTTTTTTTTCCAGAACTTTGCTGCAGCAAATTCGTCAAGGTGGGAATGGTGCATCTGCTGATGAGAATATTCGAGAGATGGGAGAAATTCGACGGGCAGTTGCGACTGAAGATTTGTAATTACGCTCTTAATACGCTTCAGCATCTCTGCGTTACAAGTAGGTTCACTAGAAGCAGATTTCGATGTTCGTAAACAAGAGCGCGGGAACGCGATCCGACAATATATACACTCGTGTGTTTTTTTATCGTTCTTCACTTACGTATTCCCGAGAGAGTACCAGTCAATGTCACGCGTGTGTGTGTGTTTTTGTTGTCTCTTGTTAGAAGCTGGAAGGAGAGCTATCAAGTCTAACAACGGCCTACAGTTACTGTACCGGTTCTGCACGAACTGTCCAGAGGACAAAGCGTATGATTGCCTGCTTTCGCGTATATGCGGGATAATCAATCAATGTCTGGAGAAGAGGGAATTGCCGGTGCCCGAAATGTCGCCCGCGAGGTGAATAAAATGTTCGAGGTCGAACAGTAATCCTCGACCAGAATTATTTCCTGACTTTGTGCTCTTTCGTCCTTTAAGTGTATCGTTATAATATACATATATACCGAGAGGCGTACAAACAACGACGGTTGTTCTTGTTCTTACGCTACAGATCGCCAGATCAAGCGAATAACTAATGCATTTTGTGCGAAACGGCATGACGTTTTTTTTTTTTTATTTTTGTCGGCGATCACGCGATAACTAAAATTTCGATCGGTTTTTCTTTTTGCATGCAGATTCGTTCTGCCCGAAGTGAATGTCAGGGCGAGCAGTGCTGAAAGCTGTAGCGACGTCGACAGCCAGGTGTGTACACGGCACTTCGGACTGACGTAACGCATGCGGTGCTGGATCTGACGCGTTAACACGTGCATGATTTGTTAGCGCAACGTGATGTGTTTTATCCTAACGAGTGTCGGCGTGCAAAAACTTTGTTGTCTTTACACTCACCGACTAATTTATTATTTGTCACTGATTTATTTGTCGCTCATTATTTATTGTCCCAAATATATTGATTTTTCAGGCGAACAGCGTGACTTCGGCCAGCCGGGTGTACAGCGACGTCGATTCCGGCGACGACGAGGAGAGCCCCGATTCCAGAAACACGGCGACGGACACCTCAATTCAAGTGAGCGACGAAGTGGATGAAAGCAAATTCTTCGCCGGGGTTTTCACCTCGGAAAGATCCGAGGAAGATCTTGCTGGGTTCGTAAAACATCAGTTTTTTGCAAATATTATCGATATTACATAATAAATTATTTGTGATTTTATTTTACCATTTCCAGATACCACACGTTCTTTGAGGAATTGGGCGATTTGCAAACGCAACTACGCGTTGTCGGATCGTCGAACGACAAATTGAACGACGACGTTTGTTCAAAGTCTTCGATGAAAGATTTTTCCAAATCCAGCAGCTCGGCAAAAGTCGATACGCACAGTTTGAAAATTCTGAAGGACGTCGCAAGCAACGCTTCGAAGCGACACGCGTACTGCACCGTGGCGAGCAGAGTGAGAAGCATTATTAACTTTGTGAAGGTCGCGTACCCGGATATGATAGGCGGCGACGGTCTGGGTAAACCGGAGCCGCTGAACGCGAAGGACAGAAAGGTTTGCCGGGCGAAGCTGTTGACCTGCGTGGAGCGAGGCCTCCACGCGGCCGCCACCATGCAAGAAGTCGTTTACGATCTGGACGTTCTCGCGAATTCTCCCAGAAGAAAGGTTTTGGACGACGAGCGATTCGGTAATTGGGACGAGAAAAAGATCGGCAAGCGCGGTCTAAATGCAAAGCAGTTGCAGTTCGAGTCCAGATTTGAAAGCGGAAATCTCAGGAAAGCTATTCAGGTATATACGTAAGTTAAAACGTCACTCGCGATTTATGTAATCGATTATGCTTGTACGTTGCGCAAGAATCTGCGCGATTACGCCGGCAGTTTTCACGACTTATATTCTAGTTTGTGTGCGTGTGTGTGTAGAGAAAAACCCCGCATTTCTCAATGCATCTTTCTCTCTCTCTCTCTCTCTCTCGTCTTGTAATTTCTTCTTCGCAGATAGGCTCACGGGAATACGATCTCATCCTGACACCGGACGTGAACAGCGCCTCCAGACATCAGTGGTTCTACTTCGAGGTGTCCAACATGGAAGCGGTCGCGTACACGTTCAACATCATCAACTGCGAAAAAGCAAACTCGCAGTTCAACTTCGGCATGAAGCCGATATTGTTCAGCGTGACGGAGGCGCAGCGCGGCAGACCGGGCTGGATGAGAACCGGCGTCGAGATCTGCTACTATCGCAACTGCTACCAACGATCCGCTCGGGGAAAGACGTACCTGACGACGTCGTTCACCGTCGCATTCCCGCACGCCTACGACGTCTGCTACCTGGCGTATCATTTCCCGTACACGTACAGTCTGCTGATGACCAATATCTGGAAATGGACGAGACAGGTCTCCGCGGCTAGCGTGTACTTTCGCGCGGAAACGCTCTGCGAGACTCTGAACGGCAACGAGAATCCCGTGATCACGATCACGTCGCCGGATTCCAAGACCAATCCTATACACGTGAGACATATTCAGTTCTTCAGAAAGAGAACAAATGAATCTTAGTGAAAAATGATGAAAGTCTTTTTTCAGAATCGCAAGATGATCTTCTTGACGTCTCGAGTACATCCCGGTGAGAGCAACGCCTCCTGGGTGATGCACGGAACGATGCAGGCTCTTCTGAGCGACAGTCCGTACGCCAGCAGTCTACGGGACGATTATGTGTTCAAGATAATTCCTATGTTAAATATTGAAGGAGTCGTGAACGGCTGGTGAGTAAACGCTTCGTGTATTTTTGCCGCTTTTATTTATGAATACTACTACTGAAATTCATGATAGAAATTTCTAATTCTAAAATGAAAAATTTTACATCTACGTCGTCTTAATTAAGAATTGGGATGGCGGAGATCGTGTAATCGTACCTTTATTAAAAGTTCAGTGTAACACAAGAGTCGCACATTCCGCGTTTGCGCGCGGAATTCCAATGTGAAAGCGACGTTTCACGTTGACGAAACTTGACGCGCCGATTGTCATACGTCCGGATGACCGAAACGTTACCTCGACCGATCATTTCCCTCCCGCGGAATATACGTCGGAATCTGTCACCTCCCCGAACGTTTCGTCTTGCGGACGTATAGATACGTTAACACAAATAATGATGTGTGATGATTGATTACTTCCTTATGCGCATATAAAAACAAAAAAAAAAAAATTAAAACGCTAGCGGGCTTACAATCAGTTTCGGTCAACTTTTTTTTTCTTTCGTTGTGTGTTCTTCGAAACTTTCTACAATTCTTGATGTCAATGCCAAGAAAAACGCAAATGTTTAATCAAAGAGAGTACAATCACGAGACGAGTGAATAAAGTGACAAAAATGATTCGAATAACAATTGTCCGCCATTGTCAAATGATCGGGGGATGAGAACTGAAATGAATGCCCTTGTGAAAATTAACAGCTTGTCGAGTAACGTCGGCAGGAGAAGAACACAATTCATCCTCGTCACTTTCTCTTTTACTCTACACAATAACTTTGACAATTGTCACTTTCAAACCGCGATTATTAGTCTCAAGAGCAATTCTAACGGTTAATCAGAGAAAAAGTAATCTGCCTGCCGCCGACCGAGGAAGCTGTTGAGTAATTGTGATCCTCTCTGATCCCAAAAAAAAAAAAAAAAAAACTGTCGAACATTGTGTATCGGGTATGCCTTAAGTTAGAAATTAAAACGGCGACAACGACGGCGACCTGTCACGCGACAGTTCGCTGTCGTGTGTCACGCATACGCGAAACTCATATATAAAATATACACATACATATAATATATATATATATATACCTATATATAGTTCTCCTCAAGTATGTATTTACCGTCACTTATTACGACGAAATAACGTGACGTTGCCTAGGAAGAAGTAAAGCGTTACTTGGACGGAGGGTCTAATACTTTGCCGTTTGTGCGCACCTTGATGTTGTACCTATAAGCCGGTTCCGCCTCTGGCAGGATCGTGCTGCTGTCGTCGTCCTGGTCCTTCATCATCGACGAGTCCGCCGCTGATGCCGACGCCGCCATGTCGTCGGCAGGTTGATCGTTCACGTAATCCTGAACGCTGTCGTACGGTCCGATTGTGTGGGCGTCCTCCAGACCGTTGTTCGGCAATTCGGTTTCCGCGGCCAGGTCGCTGTAGTCGGGTGACTCGCGATGCTCCATCCTCATCTCCGACGAGGACGAGGAAGAAACGACGGGACGTGAGGCCAACGGTCGCAGGACCTCGCGGGTCTCGAGACCGTCGAAAACGCTGTCCTTGCGCGCCTGAGACGCCACAGCGGCGTGTTCTGTGAACAGACTCGTGATGTCCGGAATGTGATCCGGTCTGGTATTGTCCAGATCGTCGACGGCCGCGGCCGAGCGCTCGTCATTCTGGTCGTCGAACGTCGTCTCTGACGCCGTCATGCCGTGCTGCTGCTGCTGCTGCTGATTGCCAGATGCGGGAACGGCGGTGGTCATCAGCCTGCTCACGACCAGATCCTGTGGTGATTTCTCGGACGCTTCCGATGGCGTCGCCTGCTCGATCTCGGCGTCGCTGCTCGAATGATGTTGATCGTCGATGTTGGTGCTATCGATTTCGTGATCGCTCGCTTGGTCGTAGCCGGCCGGTGCCGAGGTGGTCGTGATGTAGGGCCTGTGATTTCTAAAAAAAATATCAAAAAGTTTACTCAGAAATAGAAATCATAGCTGATGTGTTTCTTTGATTTTTAAGATGATTTACAATTTCTTATGTACATGTACAAAATCTTCTTCCAAAGAATTAAATTGTCTTTGCAAGTTGTTTTGCATTATTGTGAAATATCACAGGAAATATTATAGGAAGAAACGTTTCGGAATTCAGAAGAATGAAATTACAGTTATCGAGATGGTAGAATGTGTATTTGTACGAGGTAATATAATTTTTATATCTCTTCAGGTGGTCATTATACTTCGCATGCTTCAGTAGCGCGACGGATAAACACGTTCGATTATAGCGACATATTTGCATATCTTATTACCGGAAGGAGTTTTTTTATTTTTGTACGTGCGCAAGAGAATGAAATTCACCTTAAGTACATCAGCACATTCCTGTGTTATCTCTTCTTCCCTTTTCTTTTTTTTCACACACACACATTCTCTCTCTCTCCCCCCCTCCTTCCTTTTACTCTTTCTGTCTTTTTTTTTTTAGAAGCTTGTGTATTTTTGTGATAAGTATTATCTCACCTCTTACCCCTGAGTCGCGGAGACTGGAATGCTGCCGTAGTTGTAATAGTAGCATCTTGTTTGCTCGCAAATAAAGTCCTTCACAAGAGTGCAATCCTGCGCTTCCCATTCTAACGTCGGTGCCTTCATTGCAACACATCCGTCCGCACTTCCGCTGTCGCCGCTGAAACGCGTCGAGAAATTCGTGTTTTTTAAGGAATTTTCGAGATCAAAAAATGTTTGTCGCGTGTTTTTATATTTTGGGGTCTAATATTAAACTTCTAATATTAGCACAGAAGAACAAAAGCATTTAATTATTAGTGTACAATACAATACTGGAGATTTACTTGATAATAGTGTGTAATAATTTTTTTACTTTAATTTAATTATTTACTTTTTAATTAAAATGTTCAATTTAATGATTTTTAATTCGATTATGTGATTTTATAAGATATAAAAAGCTTTTAATATATGTAATGAAAAGTGTTACTTTTCGCGTGCCACCCTTTGGGGTTCCGTGCCGGGTGGAACTTCAACGGGTCTGTTGCCAGGTCGTTTCAGCATGTAGTCGAAAGTCACATTGAACGGCAATCCCGTGCTCATCCACAGGAACATGTCGGTTCCCAATTTATTACCGGAAGTCCAGAAGTCGTATTTCGTGTAGCCCGCGTTCTTCAAATATTGCGTCATCGTATCAGCCTTCTCTTTTGTCTCAAAAGATGCCAATTGGAGACCTAACGAGCGGCAGTACTGATACGCCAAAAAGTAGTTCAGTTCCGGACTGTAGGGATTCATCCGCGACACGAAGTATTGAATACCATCTAGTTGGATCGTCGTGATTCTTTGGGCTGCAAATATTTCATAAGTCTGTTATTAGAAACAATAATATTTTATAAATAATTTTTCTAACGCGCTCGAAAAAGAGTACGCACATCAAGCTACATTTTAGGTCACATTAAGAAGCGTTGCGTTCGCAGTTGTGGCGCGTGTGAAATTAGAGCAAATTAGAGTTGATACAATTCTCACGATATATGAATGACAATTTTTTTTGTTTTTTATGTAGGACGCACGTGCTTGATTGTCAAAGTAACGCGCAAACTGTAACGACGGTTAAATTCTTTTACATTTTTACAGTGTTGCAAAAAATTATACGTATCTCTATTACAAGTACCTATCTCTATTAAAAGTAATTATTTTAAATGTTCTTCTTCACTTTGTGATCTCAATAAACTTTTATCTTGAAAAAAAAAACTTTCGTTTCTTTTAGCTTGTCGAAGCACGTACGTAGTGTTATGAGTTCCGAGAAGACCGCAAATGGTCGTAGAGCCGCGAAAAATTACGTCCTATGAATACCTAATGCACAGTTACTATTCCATTTCAGCATTGCAGCATAAACCTCACGATCGAGAACCGTTACGATTAATAAAAACGTCCATCTTTTTCTCTGCTGTGTATGCAAATATATCGCGTTCAACGCGGAAATAGCAGTTTTAAAAAAAACCTTTTTGTTTAAATTTAGAAAAATTTAAAAACGAATATCACGCGCGATATTCAACGTGTTCGCAGAATGCGTAATTTTTTTGCGCGTAGAAGACTCAAAAAAAAAAACAAAAACAATTTCAATTTATACGTTGTCAAAAAAGCGTGACATTTCCTTGTGTTACGCCTCGTAGCAACGCGCGAGATGAGGGAATAAAGGGAGATGCGCGAAATTGAAGCGCGGCTTTCGTTTCGACGCTATTCGTGACCGCTTCGTAACGCGCCTTTTTAATTTCACTTTAAATGCGTGCCCTCGAAAAAAATTATAACGCGTTTTTACCCGACTCCACACAATGACTCGAAACTTTACAGAAGGACAGTGTTAACATCGGGTTGCGCGCAGAGAGTTCATTGAACCGCCACGGCTATTTAGTTAACTGTACTTATGAATTATGACGACGCGTCGAGAAAGATCGCTGAATAGCCCTAGGTGACGAGTGGCGCAACTAAAATCCCTCTCATTGTTTCTAGTCGCGATTGTTTCCCGTTACGTACTCCAGCAGTTACAGACACACCGATGACTGCGAGGAACTGACTTTTTAAATTTTTATTATGTAAACTTACAATTTTCAACATGAAATTATCTACATATATGTCAAACAGGTATAAAACGTGTCTCGAAACATCTCTTGAACTTCATACGCGAGAGAGTTACGAAACAAAATGCATTGAAGGCTTCAATGCAAAAGGAGCACAAGTTCATGTTTTCTTTTTTTCTTTTTCCTCTCTTTGTAACCGCCCAAGAAATTTAAAAGATCAAACAAGAATATTTAACCGGAAAAAAAAGAGAAGAAGAGGAAAAAACTGAAGAGAAGTGAAAGTAGTGTTAATTGAGAGAGAAATAAAAATGTTCGTGTGTTTGGAGAATCGACAGATAAACCCTCGTCGAATGTATGATATTCTTCAATTTCTCGCAACGACAAAGAGGCCCAGAAACTGCTCGTTACGCCGTTTTGTGGAAGTCAATGGAGTTGATTTAAATTTTCCCGAAGGGACACACATTCCGTATGCATGCAAAGTGCGCATCGTTATATACACAGCGAACGGCGAATAAGAAAGAACGACCGGAACGAGATATCCGTCTCGGCCGGTCAGCAGAAGTCTCGTCACGGCTCCGGGTACTTCGTAGAGCGCATCCGTAGCAAAAACGTTCCGGATCGTGAAGTCGGACGTGCAGGTGGTGGTAAATGACCCGAAGGCCTTGAGACGTTTGCCGTCGGTGTGTATGTGTGTCTGTGTGAAGAGACGCGCGCGTGTAAGAAGAGGCGACTAGAGTCGTTTTTAACTACAACTTCACGTAACACACGTTCCCGCCGCGGCCGGCTAATGATTTTCGATGAGGCTCCGGAGCTCGAGAAAACGAGCTCGACATACACGAACGAAACGCGTGTCTATATATAAACGGTTCCCTTAAATATTCATCGGCATATGTAAAATCTGTTTTCTGCGTGATCTCTTTTCTTCTTTTTTTGTGACTACAGCAAGTCTTTTACACTTGTGCGCGAAACTGAATATCTCTCATACACAATCTCGATACAAGTATGGAAATATTTATATGTATATATGTAGATTTTTTTTTTATATATATATATAAATATAAAAATAATATATAAATATACGTAATAAAATTAATTTCTTTAACGTGAACAGAATGTCTTTATTACAAAAAGGGAAAAAATCAAGTGAGACATTTTAATAATTTAAATTATGAAATATGTGAGTAAAGATCAAAATTTATTTAAATTTATAAATAAAATGAAGGATGAATCTCAGATTTGTGACGGTTAATTAAATGTGAAATTATTTTAATTCACTGTAACGTGCCCGAACAATAGTCTCGAAATGTAATGTATATAGTCTATAACAATAGTCTCTCTTGATATGTAATGTACATTCTGCGAGACAATTTCAACTACCAAGCACATAATGTATTTTGTGCTGATCACTTGAGATCTTGTAGTGTAAGCGCGGCGCGTGTTTTAAAAATAGACATTTTAGAAATCGTCTTCTGACACTTATTGAAAAAAAAAAAAAAACAACAAAACGTGTGGGAAACCTACGATCTTGTTTTGTTGATCAATCAAAGGTAATGCTCGAACGGTCTTCGAGAGCAGTCGTTAACAAGCTCAAATCGTATACAAGACAGACAACGCGTGATTGCCGGGTTAGCGCGCGAAGTAGTATAATAAATAAATTTATTACACCGTGCAATCTCTACAAATATTCTCTTTAATTTTTTTTAATAGATATTAATTATTTTAGAAATATTATTTTTTTTTAGATATGCAACAAAGAGTGGTTTTGCTTTGTACAATATACACACTTTTTAATGAGCAAAATTTTGAAAAAGCGCAACGCATCAGTGTGGTGCGTCGCCCGTGTATTATGCACATTATGTTATTTCCGGTTCAGACTTTGAATGCGCAACGAGCTGGTGCGGGAGTTTCTTTCTGCTGATCGGAAAGTCGCGTAGAAAACGAGCCGAACGGTGAAATGTATGTACGCGCGATAAAGAGTTTGAAAGAACAAAATTGTAATTTGATAATAAAATAAGGACGTCACCGCGCGAGTTAAAAACCGAGCACGACGACGAACGGAGTCGGGTATATATTGCGTCGTAAATTGTAAGGGTACTAACCTGAGGCGAAGGCCACCACGATAAAGAGCAACAGGATGATCTTCATGTTAGCGTAGCAATTACCGTGCAGTCAGTCGTTTCCGTTTCCGACTCTCTCTCGCTCTCTCGCTCTCTCTCGCTCTCGCTCTCTTTCTCTCTCGGAATACACCGGATGTTAGTGTTAGGGTCGCGTTCTCGGACTGGCTTCGCTCTGTACCGCGAGCCCCCTTAAGAGTCTTCTGCCCGGATCCCGGAGGAGGGGGTAGTTGAAGATGATTCACTGGCTAACCTAGAGCAGGATGGTGGCGGCGACGGCGGCGGCGGCGACGACGACGTCGACAATGACAACAACGTGAAGAAGACAGATCGAAAAGTAATCAAATCGCAAAAGAATCGCAGACGACAGAAGGCCGAAAGAAGAAGACACAATGGACCGAATAACGGCGAGAGGCATATCCATGATCGGGGTGACGCCACGCTTGATTCGGCACGGGTTCGCTTCCTCTCGATCGCAGAGATGATGCGCGAAATCGACGATGTAAAATACGAAGGTGCCACCCTCCCCCCCTTGTCTCGCGATCACAAAGCAAAATCGATTGTGAGCTTGCCGATGGAAATCCTCGTCGACAGGTGAAGAGACGTATATTCCCGCGATCGCCTGATACGTCAATTTTTCGAATTTCTATCTCTTAGATTAGCTCTTAGATAAGACACTTCAACGCAAATAATAATTCAAGCAGTTTTAATTTTACTTACGTACTTGGTAAAGATTTAGAGGTAATGTAATATGTCAATCGGGGCCAGGATCGATCGTTGTGTTCGATAAGGCAAACATAATTTTGCTTTTAAAATCGAAGATGTTTGTACTTGCCGAATAAACCCCGCGGTTATAAATGAGCGCAACGTACAATCGCATCGGGGACTAATTTGTATTAACTAGCAGAGTCGTCGTATGAATAATGCTTGTTCGGCAAAAGGGGATTATAATCCGTTTGTAAGTGGCGTATCGCGTGGACGTGGAATAATGGCAGAAACGGATAATAGCAAGAAAACGTTGTTATTCGATCGGTGTATAACGTTTATGTTAATCCTATTAATAATATACGCACGCTCGGGGCTCACTTTGTTCGAGACACCGTAAATCCTTCTTCAGCCGTCAGTTCTTTCGCACGACGATATATGGAATTTCGCTTTGCCGCGTCTTTCACGATTTTCTCTATCTTTCTCTCTTTCTCTTTCTCTTTCTCTCTCTCTCTCTCTCTCTCTCTCTTTCTCCCTCTCTCTCTCTCTTTTTCTCTCTTGATTCGTATCGACGATGCGGCGGCAAAAAGACGCTCCGCTTCAAGGCAGACTTCATTTCTGAACATCACCTCTCTAGTGAGGCGCTTCGATATCAACCACCCCTAAAAATTGCCTCACTTCATTCTTCAGCGAGGCGACACGCACGAACCTGCCGCTCAAATCCAACGCTAATTGCAACAAATCGCGTTTATTTCCCAACAAGGGAATCCTTAAATTATACCTTTCGGTTACAGGCCGGTTCTCGTAAAGCATTGACATCCAACTATGTTGAGCTCCTTCTCGGTTTTCGAGCGAGCGAACGAACGAGACAAGCTCGATGATGTCGATCGTTAATACCGATTCAAGCGCTCCTCGTTCTCGGGAGTGTACGAATATATATATCAGAGTTTTATTCTAACAGGGTGTGTATAAACCGTATTTTAATAAAATCGCGATCGCGAAACGACGCTTCGCCCCATAAAGAAGACGACGATCCTCGGGCTTAGAAGTTCTCCGCCGTCGCGAGAGAACACTGAAGAGAGCGTTTCAACCGGTTTCCATCTCTCTTTTTCTCTCTCTTCGCACAGCCTTTGGCGCCGTTTATTCTTGCGCTTCTTCGCCGATTTCTTTTGGTGCGCATCATCATCTTTCACTGCGGCGAACGCGGCGTGTTCTTCTTTCCCGTAAGATCCGATGGAATTTCTGGTTCGTCAGCTCGAAAGCGAGCGCGCGAAGCATCACATCGTAGACATTACGAAGCGACGCGTGCGAATGCTACCGGCCCTCGCGTCTCAATTAAGCTTATGCGTGATTAATGATACGAGATCGTATCGGGGTGCGCGCGTCGCCAGAGAGCGTATTTAACGAGTTGACGCATTCCTCCGAGTCGCAAGTCCGCACGGTCCGGATTCTGTTATTTCTTTTCGTTCGAGTTGGGATCGAGAAGCCCTTTCGCCGGCGATATCCCGTAATCTTAATGAGAAGCAGCGTTATTTCATACACAGAGACGCTGCGCGCATTAGACTTCCCTCTCTTCCCTCCTCCAGCCTTCTCCTCGCCGATGTCTTTTCTCCATACGCTAAGAAACGCTGGCACTTATTCGGTAGTTGAAATTCCATTTTATCGTTCCCGCGAACTTTCATAGCGCACGCGCTATATCGAAACGATGGGATTTCCTATCAAGTGCCTCATTGAGCCACGTGAGATAGTACTCACGTTATTACAGGAATCTGGGGTTTATCTCGAAACATCGACCGTGTGTTCGAGCAAAATGTTATTCGCGTTTATATGCATGCGTTTCCCGCGTTTATTTTCTATTCCGACCGACCGATTCTCTACCGGTTTACGGCGTCGTCCGTTTGACTCTCTCATTAGAGGGATGCCTGATACATACGCGAAAAAAGACACACACACACACGCGCGCGCGCAGTTTCTCGTCTCGTATTTAGAAATATTTTATTCAACGTGCCTTCTCGTGTGTCGATGGCACGTCCTCGGCAACGTTTGTTTTTTTTAATTTTTTTTTTTGCATATTTCCTCGAAATATTTGCCTAAATCATTCGGAATGATTCGACTTGAACTTTCTTCGCTGCTAAATTTTTATTCGCTACTAAATGTTTTTCGAAGAAGTTTATTAATAGCAAACACGCCGTGTGTGTGTGTGTGTGTGTGGTGTGTCGAATCAATAAACGTACACGCAGGTATTAACCGCAGGCGATGCGCATCGATAACGCACACGAGTCGCAAAGAAACGATGTTTCTCAAGGTGGACTGTATTTCTGATCGTGTGTTTCGCGAATCGAAGAATCGATTCACCTGCCTCTCGAAATACCGCAGTGCGATCGGCTCTTCTGTCTGAAACGGCGCGCTCCTTCTCCAGTTGTTCGATTACGATATGGAAACCGGTACGAGAAACGCCACATATACTCCAGAAAACGTATCGTCTTCTTCCTCCTCCTCCTCCTCCTGTTCCCTCTTCTCGCCGCCAGTATCCGTATATGGTATTATCTCTCGACCGCGGTATATGCCCGGTGGCGGAATCGTTGGATCAATGATCAGAGACCGTGTTATTTCTGGTGCACGGCGCGCTGTGCGGGCGCGATCATGCGTACGTACATACGCAAAAAAGAATCTCGCGTGACATCCAAGACCTACCGCACCACGGAAACCGTCTCTCCGATTCTCTTTGCATTCGCGGCTCCCTGCACGGGAAGAAACAGAGCCAAGTTTAATGACAGGATAGTGCCGGTTCCCTTCGCGCGCGGGTTCAAGAACGCAGATAAATCGGCGGGAGACGTTTCGCGATCGCTGGCTGTTTCATTACACGCAATTTAATTCGAGTGCGCAACGCGTTGTTGTTTCGAAAAGCTGTAGCCGAGAAAAGCTCGATAACTTTGTACGAATCTTTGTTTTTTTTTTTTTTTTTTTGTACTTGATATAAAATGCTTTTTTCTCATGTATTATTCGAAATTAATCACAGCGTGCCAATTGTAGACACGTTGATAATGGAATTTGGCTGAAGAGTTAGTCGACTTTGTATCGAGAGCGTGCCGCGAATACTCGCGGCGCAAGTCACGTTCCGTCTTTGGTACCTTGGTATAGGTCAGTTTAACAGGTTGGGTTCCCATCGCGGTATTCCCGTGGGAATGCATCATGTTCACTCGAGTGTACTCAAACTCGGTGATGCTTATGGAACTCTCTTTCTCTCTCTCTCTCTCTTCCCGTGAAGCGATGAGAGAAATGAAAGCAAAATCTCTGGCGTATTGGATAAACAAGCGATCTTGTAGCAACGCACACCATCGCAATTGTCGTCGTCTCTTCGTTCTTCCGTTCTCTCTTACTTACCGTCTTTTTCTCTCTCTCTCTCTTTCTCTCGTCTCGTTTTCTTCGTCATCTTCGTCTTCTTCTTCTTCGTTTTCTTCTTCCTTTCTTTCGCTTGATCCGCTCCATGCGAGGGAGATGCTAGAAACAACTTCTCACAGCCGCGCGCCAAGAGACTTGGCTTTTTTTTTTTGCTAAAACAAAAGCAAAGACGGGGGTTCGCCGCGCGGCGGCTAGCGACGGCCAGCAGCGACGACCATCGCCGCGACGAAGAACACGAAGAAGAGGAAGGAACAAGGCAAGCGGGAGAGGAAGGATGCCTAGGGGGATTCTTGTCGAGGTCTATTTCAGGACCCAATCGCTATATGTAAGACCCTCTTCCACTCTCCCTCCCTCCTCACACGTCTCACCTCGTCCTTTTTCATCATCTTGTTGCGCCCTCGTTCTCGTCGTCTGCCTCCTCTTCGTCACCACTAGTGTGCCTCATCTTTTTCTTCTCCTTTTTTCCTGTGTGTACGGAACTTTTGGTTTTAACTTGCGAACACAATCTCGAACCGAGACGGAGCCATACTGCCTCGTAGACTTCGACGACGTTCGCTCTCTTCCATTTTGATATCTCTAGGACAGTGATCCTCATGCGATGCTTCGTGATTAATCGAGAGAACAATGTAGGTGTCTTGAAAAAAAAAGAAATACATCAAAGGTATCTTCACAGCAAGGATACGATCGCAATGTAATAAGAAATTTTGGAACTGTTAATCAGGAAGGAAAAGAAAATAGAATATTTATCTTCTCTTTTTAAAAAATGTTTTAATTTTTACTTGTTATTATGTTACCTACACTCTTATTATTTTAATTGAATTTATTTTAACAGTCTAAAATTAGTAAAATTTTCAATAATGATTTTCTCCGAATTTTTCATAGAAATAAATATTGAAAAAATTTGTAAAATTTTATTTTTTGATCAAGAATAAGCTTCTCAAGTTTCAAAAATTTTTGTCATTTTTCAGATATGTCCCAAATCTTCTTAAAGCAATCAAATACTAGTTTCAAACTAGTTAGATAACAAACTAACGCAAGAATTTTTCAAGTAATATATTTAATATATTATATATTA